TATAAGAGGAGGAAATTTGGACACAGACTTGTACAAAGGAAAGATCATGAAATACACTGCTGAGGGGAGCAGCGGGCGGGTCAGGAGAGGTCTGCTGTGCCATGTGGTCACCTCAGGGGCAGGCGGGGATCGAATTCATGCTGAAGTGACTTTAGCTTCTTAGTGCTGTGCTTTAACCTCCTGCATCACCAGGGAGGGCCAGACACAGGTTTTTAAGTAGCTATATGTAAATGTATGTCGATTACATTTTTAAATAAAAATGGGACAATAGATATAGTGCTCTACAATGTGATTTTTCCATTTCCATTTTATTTTAAACATCTTGTCATTCTTTTTAGCAATATCTGTTAATAGGCATTTGAGTCATTTCCAATTTTGAAATGATATGAACATCTGTATAATACATAGACATAAATGTATACACATTTATATAAGTTCCTAGAAGTATTACTGGGTCAAAGATTATAACCATCCAAAAGTTTATAGTATGGTTTCTCAATCTTGGTAATATTGACCTTTGAGATTGGATATTTCTTTGTTATGGGATTGTCCTGCACACTGTATCAACAAAATGTTTAGCAGCAGCGCTGACCTTCATCTATGAGATGCCAAAAGCACCTCCCTTGTGACAACAACAAAAGTCTCCAGACATTACAAATGAGGGGAGAAAGGGAATTGGCCTCAGGTTAAGAACTACCTGGACATTGCTTTCTTTTTTTTCTCTTTTTTCCGAGTCCCCTTTCAACAACTTCCTATGCTACCCTTTCTTCATAAAGGAAAAACACTTAGGGCTCTCCCTGGTGGCACCATGGGTTAAAGCTCTACACTATGAAGCTCTCAGAAGCCACTGTAGCACGAGTTCAATCACATCCAGGGAACTGGCCCGGAAGGCACAGCAGACCTCTCTTGACGGGCCCACTGCTCCCCTCGGCAGTGTGTTTCAGTAGATCCTCCTGTTCTGCTCCCCACTCTGTCTGTGGTGAATCCTCTCACCACACCTCTGGCCTGTACCCCAGTTCTGTAAGCTTAAATA